TCTGTCCATTGTGTCGTCTCGTGCACGACGCCGCTTACGTTCGGATATACACTCGATAGTGGGCCGGTCGGTGTTCGGCGTGGGGGTGATTGGATCGACTGTTACGTCTCGTGCGCCGGGATCATGTTCAGAGGCAGAGCTTGTTGGTGTGGCTACGAGGCTCAAAGGAATGGTGACGTCGGGCGTGAGCTCGAGTTTCCGGATCAGCTCACCCCGGCAACGACTATCACGAGAAAGAACCCCCAAAACACAGTCAACAAGCTAGTAAGACGAGTTAGACAGTTTGGCGAAACGAGTAGACGCTATCTCGACAACCTTTGATACATCAGTAGCTCTGTGTAATTCTTCCCTCAAGAGCTTTGCAATAACCTCAGACATAGGACCTGTGTTGTGATAGACAAAAAGTCGGCGTGACGCAATTCGGGGGCGGCAGGGCTTTTATGGCCCAGCACGCTGGTGACTTGCCCCACTGCGTGCGCAAGGGTAACGCTCTTTTTTTAGTGGCAGTCACCTAACTGGTTGGAGGGGTTGCTTTAGCTCGGAGCACTATTGTTTCATCTGTCAACCTGACTGTTGTTGTGGGGCGCTGGTCTTCATATGGTCGAGATTGAGCCTCTCATCACTGCTCTTCAGTGACGATTTGTCTTTCTTCTTAAAATTTCAGAAAAAAATATTGACTACAGCACAGTACAGGAGTGCATACGTCAGGTTAATTCAGGGACTCATAGATTTCCGTGGTGAATAACGTATCTCGCCACGCGTATTGACGGTTCTTTTGGCGGGAGTTCGCACGAAGTAACAGTGCTACAATGCAGCCTTACACCCCTCCCCAATCTTGCAGGAACGATCTCCGATTGGAAAGTGGCCGTATCCAGCTGCGACAGAAGAACTGCATCTGACTTTACCGTGACCACAGTGAAGTGGTACAATTTGCACTTAATGGCGAGAAACTGTCACGTGCTATAGCTGTTGGGTATGCACAGCCGGAGAGAGGACTTTAGCGAGGTGCTGTGCCAACCACGCTCTCTCCTGTTAAGCCCAGTCGAAATAGAGGACAATGAATTTGTAAGAATAGGCCCGGCCAGGGCACCAGACTAAGCAGTTATCCAGGACACCTACCGGCCCAAGACACAGCTATTGATTGGCTCAGCACACTTACGTTTATCGCAGCACCTGTCTCTGGCATTCAAATGGGTTTGCAGGTGGATGCCCACACAGGGGCATCCACCTCCCTGCAGCGCTGCCCCGGTAAGGTTGACTAGCACACTAGAATACAATAGATTCTAGAACTCTCCCCTGTAAACAATTTTCCCCACTTGGTGCTGTTAGCACCTATTAGTGGGGCGACGCGATTACAGGTGACATTGCCACACCTTTACTATGGACCACTATCGCGACCCTAACAGCACAATGGAAGAACTTTGGAGAGTTCATATTCCATTGCAGAGCTGATTCCGGCGACAATTCACGCGGAAAATCCTTGAGAACCTTTAAAGAGACTGCTTGGTTATCTTTGGGCCTCTGGGAACGAGCCGCGGCGACATTACAGGAACCCGCCGTTCGACGACGCGTCAATATGCCAATGTCCGACTGTGCGAACCTCACGAAACACAAAACATTACAGCCACAGTACGTGGGAGGGAGTGTCGACCCTGATCGCGTACGCCATTCGATGGAAAATGAGCTTGGCGACTCGTTTTCTTGCCCGACAAGAGTTTACGGCATCGTACGGTCGTGAAATACGCGATGGAGACGCGTAATCGGAGCGACGGGTACGAACGCCGCCAACACCAACACAGAATACATATCCAAGAACAGCATTATTCTCCGTCAATGACGCGTCAAAGCCGTCGTAAATCAACAGTCTGGGCCTCACGAGACACCACATATTACAGCCACAATACTGTTGGGGGAGTGATGACCCTGCTCCAGTATGCCCCACGATGGAGAATGGATTTGGTTGCTCCATTCGCCCTGCCGACAATCGTCTACGGTATCAGAGGTTGACAAGTACACGACGGAGACGTGAAATGAAACGGGCAATCTTGCCTAAATTTTGTTTCTCTTCTTTTCTCTTCTTTTCTTTTCTTTCTTTCTTTTACTTTTCTACTCTTTCACAAACACTACCAACAGCTTAGTTTTCCTGTTCAAGGCACCTTACACACTGCAACTAGCACAGCTGGCCTACATCCTAGCACACCATTTATGCAAAGGACGCATTTGCGACGCGTCCAGCTGCTGATGTTGTCTAGGTTGCCGTGAGCAAGCACAGCCCCGAGAAATATCAACGAGCATGCCCCTTACACTTCAAGTACTTCCATACAAGAACATCTACACTTCATGCAGCGCACACAATCAAAAGACTACCTCAAGGCAGCCATGCGCTCGGCAGCCCAGAGGTAGTAGTACAAACAACAAAGCAACATCAGGACGGGCTCTCTGGGTGTACCCAGTCGGCCTTGTCTGCAGTACTCATAAAACACGGCGCAGACGAGTGGTTTGGTTATACAGAAGCTCAGGAGGGCCGGGAAGGGCCTGACAAGTCAGAGACACAGAACATACAGAATAGGTATTGGTAGAGGGCAACTATAGATCCCGTCGATTGACAGGGAAAAGTCTCTTTTGCAGGAACCGCCTGGCAAGCTTAGCTTCCTGTAGGAGAGACAGACCCCCCGGAACTTGGGAGCACCTGTATTAAGAGCCGTACGCTGCATAGCTGCCACGAGGCGGCTGGGACAGTCACAATAGATTCTAGGGTTGAACCTGGCCTGGTATTCGTGAGCTAGTATATCTTGTGTACTGGTGTTTGTAGGCTAGCATACAGTGAGGGCTTCAAAACTCTCCCCTGTAAACAATTTCCCCCACTTGGTGCTGTTAGCACCTGTTAGTGGGGCGACGCGTTTACAGGCGACATTGCTACACCTTCACTATGGACCACTACCGCGACCCTAACAGCACAATGGAAGAACTTGGGAGAGTTCATATTCCATTGCAAAGCTGGTTTCGGCGACAATTACACGAGATGTGCGCTGCGAATCTTCTTTGAAACAGCTTCTGTATCGACAGATTCACAGTGTACAGCTCGTCTACCTTGTGGCTATCCTCATTCGACAACGCATCAACCGCCGACTCCTAGTGTTCGAACCTCAGGAAACACCAAAACATTACAGCCCCAGTGCGTAACGGGATTGTCGAGCCGTCACGCACAACAATAGATGGAAAATGGACTTGGATGCCCCATTTTCTTGCCTGATAAGAGTTTACGGCATCGGACACCCAGGGAGAACTC